CTAATATAGATTAGCTATGGTGTGTTTTTAAATTGGCATTTACTCTAAATGAAAGTGAAATAACATTTGTAAAAAGAATTACTAGAGAAAACAAAGGCTTCAAATTAAGCTATACTTTTTCTGTCCAAAATAAAACCCCAAACCAAGAAAACAACCTCTAGATCTGTTGTTTTATTAATTAGTAATCTTACTGTACACATTTCAGTTGGTATTTGGAAAACATGTAACTATTCATCTTTATAGAAATATGTTCCCATTTGAATATAGAGGAAGTTGTACTTACTAAGAGGTTAACTTGAAAGTTAGTGCTCACCAAAAGTTAATTAGCGCCAATTTCATGTTCTGGAAAGATAAAATATCAAAGTCCTATGCACATGTCTTATTTATGTATACAGTATTCCAGAAATGAATGGGATACTCAAAAGATTAAACAGGAACATCCTTTACTTATGGAAAACAGGATAAGATAAATCTGAAATTGTCATACATTGTTTTGAATAAGAATGGAATGACCTATCCTCTCGGCTCTAATCATGAATATGGACCTTTTTTTTTTAAGATTTTATTTATTTATTTATTTGACAGAGAGAGAGACAGCAAGAGGGGGGGGAGTGGGAGAGGGAGAAGCAGGCTTCCCGCCGAGCAGAGAGCCCGATGTGGGGCTCAATCCCAGGACCCTGGGATCATGACCTAAGCCAAAGGCAGACACTTAACGACTGAGCCACCCAGGTGCCCCGAATATGGACTTTTTAAGAGTGTACTTTTCTATTCTGTATTTGTCTATAGTGTACTTGTCTATTTCTAAGAGTTATGTATTTCCAAACAAAAGTTAATTCTGGAAATTCTTGTGTATGAACAGAGGTTTTTGGCCAGAGGAGGCACTATTTGAAAGAGCCAGAAGATTAAGTCGGCACTAATTACAAACAAATGACTATGTCTTAATATTAAACTAAAATTTCCCTGGTTCACTGGTACAAGGCTAATTTTACCTAGAACGTAGACAAAAAGACAAGTGATAGGTAAGAAAAAAAATTAACAAGCTTTCATTAAACGCCAGACAACTATCTGGCACACCTCACAACAGTTGATTATTGAATAACTTTAAATAACAGGTATTTTTTTTATCTGTTCCTTTAAATTGTTTTTGTGGGAGGCTGTGCTGTGTATTGAGGAGGGGATAATTGGAGGGTGGGGATGGAGAGAGGAGAGGATGAAAAGATACACTGATCAAGAAGGACTAGGGGACAGGGAGTTATGCAAGAAACAGTTTATGGGAATGGGTCGTACAGGACACTGCGGTCTTTCCACAGAGAGAATGGGTCGTACAGGACACTGGCGGTCTTTCCAAATTTCTCAGGTTTAGTCCTTGCTGATAGTAAGCAAGTCTGGTTAGAGAAGCTTAAGCAATTGCCTGGCTGTTCACTAACAGGTCCATGGACTTCTCCGTTAAGGTCACCTAAAACTTGAAAAGCTATTCAGTTGCCAAAGAGTCTCAAAAATCACTAAACCTTACAACCCGAGGGAATCAAGAGGTCCCAAATTTCCATTTTTCTAGCTATAATTATTCAAACCATTCTGGCCCATGGTAGGGAAGAACAGGAGGTTGCAAGGTAGACAGGGCCTGAGAGTTGCTTCTTGTTGGTCTCTAAATGAGGTATATGTATCCCTCAAATAATACCAGCATTGTATTGAAAATCTGTAACTAATCAATGATAAAGGGTTCTTCTGAAAATTTAAGAGAGCAAACAAGTATCCTTAAGTTTAATTTCAAAAATCCCTGGAATTTATGACAAATTGGTGTTACAATTTTTTTTAAGTGTTCATTAAATTTTTTTTTAAGATTTTTTTTTTTTAAAGATTTTATTTATTTATTCATGAGAGACAGAGAGAGAGAGGCAGAGGGAGAAGCAGGCTCCCAAGGAGCAGGGAGCCTGATGTGGGACTCGATCCCAGGACCCTGGGATCATGACCTGAGCCGAAGGCAGATGCTTAACCATCTGAGCCACCCAGGTGCCCTTTTTTAAGATTTTATTTATTTGACAGAGAGAGACACAGCGAGAGAGGGAACACAAGCAGGGGGACTGGGAGAGGGAGAAGCAGGCTTCCCGCCGAGCAGGGAGCCCGATGTAGGGCTTGATCCCAGGACTCTGGGACCATGATCTGAGCAGAAGACAGAACCTTAACGACTGAGCCACCCAGGCGCCCCTGGTGTTACAGTTCTGAGATTTATCTTAATCATGGGTTTGTAAATGGACAGCTGGAGCTTAATTTTTCCCATTCACATGAAAAACTGTTTCAACAATGTCCTGTCTAAGGGTTCTCAGCCTAGGAAAAGAGGGGAAAGGTGATGTTGGTCCCCAGGGGACATTTGGCAATGTCTGGAAATGTTCTTGGTTGTCGTAACTGGGGAGTGCTGTTGGCAACTAGTGGACAGAGGGCAGAGATTCTACTAAACATCCTGCAATGCATAAGACAGCCCCTCATAACAAAGAAGGATCTGAACCAAAATGTCAATAGTGTTGAAGTTGAGAAAACCTGGTCTACTCCAAATGTTTTAAACATTATTAACTCATAATACTGTATGGTGAAATTAAGGAGTCTTTATTATTTTCATTAATAACCAATTTCACAATGGCAGTTTGAAAAACAGACCCTGCCCTAAAGTTGTATGTAAGCTATACAGAAGGAAAAAAATGACACCTTTGTGATTTGTGAAAGAAAAAAAGAAAGGAAGGAAGGAAGGAAGGAAGGAAGGAAGGAAGGAAGGAAGGAAGGAAGGAAGGAAGGAAGGAAGAAAAGAAAAGAGTGGAGAGAAAAAATTAGCTATTTTTATTCATAAAGGCATTCACATACAAATTTCAATGAACCAGAAGAATCATCTTCTCAGACAACACATTGAGAAAAGAAAAGTGAGGAACAAAATAATTATAAACTATCCTACTAATAAAACTAATCAATTATCAAGTTGTTATTCTTCAAATATATTAATAAGCCATCTGAAGATCAGTGCTCGTCAGAAGCTATAACAGCTAGAAGATGAATGTAACAGTATGCATTTATTATGAAATTTTTTAGTTCCCTTGGTTATAGGGCAATTTAAAAAAACTAAAGAAAACTATGGAAGGAGTGATCATGTGATTTGGGAGATACTCATGTCCTCAGCCATTTACCTCCAACCCACTTTCTGTCGACTCCCTTTCCTGGTAGATTGCCCTTCCAGTTAGTAGGGACCATTTGCTTTGATAATCACTGGTTTAAACCCCTTGAGAACAATAGCTAACACTTTCTAAGCATCCACTAATAAGATAAGCAAAATCATTTTTATAGCTCCTCTCAAAAAATCTTTGGTATTAAAATGGGGAAATGAACAAGAATTTCATCAGAATAAGAACCTTACACAGATCAATCCATGGGGGAAGTGCTCAATAAAAATTTGTAGTGAATGAATGAGTGAATCCTTCTTTTTAAATTTTTTTAAAGATTTTATTTATTTATTTGAGAGAGAGAATGAGAGAGAGAGAGAGCGCACGAGGGTCAGAGGGAGAAGCAGACTCCCTGCCGAGCAGGGAGCCCGATGCGGGACTTGATCCCGGGACTCCAGGATCATGACCTGAGCGGAAGGCAGTCGCTTAACCAACTGAGCCACCCAGGCGCCCGTGAATCCTTTTTTAAGCTCTATGCTAAATACGACAAACCTAGATGGGTTTCTTTTAGCTTAGGTTTTAGAGTCATATTTTCATAAATACCCATCATTTTACAAATGAATCTATAATCTAAGCTGTGCCATTAAGACAATGTTAATTTCTTCTGCTTTTTGGCCTCCTGGCCCTGATGCCTGAAAAATGAGTCAATTACTTTGGATAACTATTGCAAATGTCTTACTAATCCCACTGGAAATGTAAACGTGATCAGAGGACAAAGAAAGGAAAGAAGCTTAGCCAGATTTTCAGCCACTGCTTAAACTAACTCTAGCACTATGGGAATTACTTTCTTCAGCAATATCTTAAAATCTGGGATTATTTTAAGAAAAATAAACTTTTACAAAATGTTAGTTAGCTATAAACTCATTTCTTTTCCGTTTCCTGGTAATCATTATTATGAATTTTCTTAAGTATTAAACTCTTCTATTCACTTTGATAGTTTTTGGGCAACAACTCTAGAAGAGCCCCAACTCTTAGAGTCAGTCTGCTTAGGTGAAAGGAGGAGATAGAGAGGAATAGAAAAAGCAGTAAGCAAAATGTCTAAGGCATCACTTTGGAATGAACTGAACGTGAATAAAATTGGGAAAGGAAAGTAAGAAAAGAGAATGGGCAAGTAGGACCACCTTTGAGACAGGAGGGGCACCATGACAGGCATGAGACTCAACCATGGGGTTACAACACTGCTATCCATTTAATTATTAGAAATATTGAGATTTGGCTTCCAAATATTTTTCCTATTCAGATCCTGCTCTTTGTGTATGCTTTTTATTGTTTCAAAAAGTCTTCTTTTTTTTAATAAGTAATTCTTCAAATCCAGTTCACACACCAGGATTTAATATGTGCAGCAAGTTCCAAATACACTGTATTTCAGCAATACTTAGTGTGTTCCTACTATGTCTCAGGCCCTGAGCAAACAGCAGGCACCCCCACAGTGTAAGACCCTTTTACTTTTGGCAAATTTTCACTAAGTACTTTCTTGGTCCCCAAACAAGTATCTAAGTCCACCAGACTTTTAAGCCTTTATAAACATGCACAATCCTCCTTTCTGAAAGCTTTCGAGTGAGCACTCAGCAGTCGGATTCTTCTCCTGCAGAGTGGCTTTATGATAGGGGTTTGTTCACATGTTTCCCACAGGTAGTTGTGGATGTGACTGCATTAACATCTTTCAACAGGGCTTGATTCAAAGGCAAATTAAGAGTTTTAATTTAGAAAGGAAAAAGAGAGAGAGACATCCTCTCTGCTCTGAGAGTGCAAACGCCTAGGGACAGGGAGCTCACCAAACTGACTCCATTTCCTCACCTTGCCTCCAGCAGGCTCCCACATCTGTGAGCACGGGGACAGCCAGAGAGCTGACGTGCTTCCTGGATCCTCTACCACTTGTGGGATTGCTTGGCAATCAGGTGTGTCCTGTGTGTTAGAGACCACGTTAAGAGTTCTACAGGAATTTAATTCTCAAGCGACAACTATGTGAAGCAGGAACAACTGCTCCCATTTTTTAAAAAGACTTTTATGTATTTGAGAGAGCGAGCGAGCAAGCAGGGGGGAGGGGCAGAGGGAGAAGCAGACTCCCCGCTGAGCAGAACCCTGGGATCATGACCTGAGCCGAAGGCAGACGCTCAACCGACTGAGCCACCCAGGCGCCCCCAATTGCTCCTATTTTACGAGGTAGCTGAGGTCCCGAGCACACATAGTAAACGGTAGAGCAGGGAGGTTAAGACAAACCTTGTGATTCTATACCCGTGCTCCTAACCACCTAGCTGCCTCCCTGCAGTAAGTCCATCATCCCTGGACAGCTCTTAAGAATCCCAGTTCTAAGCATCAAGAGATAAGACCCAGGGGTCTCCCTGGCTCCTCTGTGGCGGGAATACGGGTCCTCGTCTCCAGGGCACGCTCCGCCCGCCAGTGCAGGGCTGGAACGTGCCTGTTGGGAGCAGTCACAGCCGGGAGGCAGACGTGAACCCGGCCAAAAAGTGGCGGCGGGACTCTTCTGGGCGGGAGCCACCTCTCCGGCTGCGTCCGGTTCCCGCCCCTCACGCCGGGCAGGGAGGCCGGGCTCGGGTTGGGCCCCCACCGGCAGCGGTAGCCCGCAGCTGGAATCAGCCGCCGCCCGGGCCGCGCCGGGAGAGGCAGGCGGGGCGGGGCCGGGCGCGACGGGAAGGGGAGGACGCGCCCGCCGGGCTGCAGCCGCCGCCGCGCACCGAGCGCCGCGATGGGGCTGGAGACTGAGAAAGCAGACGTCCAGCTCTTCATGGACGACGATGCCTACAGCCACCACAGCGGCGTCGACTACGCGGACCTGGATAAGTTCGCGGACTCGGGCTCCGACCGGGATCCCCACCGGCTCAACTCGCATCTCAAGGTGAAGAAGCCTGGGGCGGGCCGTGACCTGGGCCCCGCCAAGGCTTGGGGACACGGGTGCCCCGTTTAACCCCGCCCGGACCCCAACCCCCACCCTCGCCACTGGGTCAGCCGCCCAGGGTCTGGGACCCGGAACTCACATGCGGAGGGGTCGCCTGTGTAACTAGGAATTCTTAGCCAAATTCTTGTGTGCCCAACCTCACCCTAACAGAAGGTAGGGCACCCAGCCAGCTCCTTTCTCCTCGCTTCTCCCACCGGAGCACTCCTGGTTCCCCGGGCTTTAGGTTGGGTGACAGTTGGGGATTCCTGTGTCTTGCCTCTGCAGGTGGGCTTCGAGGATGTGATTGCAGAGCCGGTGTCTACACACTCCTCTGACAAAGTGTGGATTTGCAGCAATGCCCTCTTTGAAATCAGCAAATACGTGATCTATAAGTTCCTGACGTTGTTCCTGGCTATCCCCATGGCCTTCGCTGCAGGAATTCTCTTTGCCACCCTCAGCTGTCTGCACATCTGGTGAGAAGGGGCACACCGGGGTGGACCGACCTTCTGAATCGTAGGAATGTTCTTTGCCACCTGCCCTCTGCACTCCCCTTCTCCCAAGGCGGGCTTGCCAGAAGAACACGCATCAGCTCGCCACAGTAGCAAGAACCCGGAGGCCTTGAAGGGCAGTGTGCTTTCTTTAGAATCATAGGTTGAGTTAGGAGTTTAAACAGAAGTAATGTTCCTCCGTCCTCAGGTGTGAATTTCCTTCTGACGTTAATAAGGCTGGAGGTGGAGACCTGGAGGCCATGCTTCCTGCCCCAGGCTGTTCTCTTACAGGGCTGAGTTACGACTTGTGCCAGTGGTTCTGGGCAAGGCTCTTATTTCTTTTATCACCTTTTATTCAGTCACCACCTGTGCCTGGGCTAAAACAAAAGTGATCTCTGAGCAGAATGCCAGTGACAGTATAATTGAACAGGGATGTCAGGCCGGGTTAAGCAGTGCTATGGAGGGGCTGCTCCAATCCTGCCACTAGCAAATGGCAAGGATGAGACCAGAGGAGATGCTGTGTGTGTGCAGTTAAGGTGAGGGGCCCCCAACAGAAATGAATGAAAACTCAAGCTGCAGGATAATGAAATGAGAAGGACTCCAAAGTACTTTTTCACCTATGAGACAACATGGGGAGGGGCATCAACTTAAAGGGAAAATAACTATAGAAACCTACTGGGCATTAATAGGATGTTTTGAGTAACTTTATTTACACTCAAAATGCATCATAAAACTTTGGAGAACTTTTTAAGCACTAAAAAATTTTTAAAGGAAAATGTTATATTTATGGTTTTAAAAGATACTCACTTTGTCCTGAGAGAAAGAGCATTATGATCATCCCCCAGTATTGCAACAGTTGTCAGTATTGTGCTTTAGGGCAGTCCTGGCAAAATGTATAATCCTAAATGCCTCCATGTCTTTCCTAATCACTTCATATGCTATTGCCACACCCTAACACATGTTGTGTTCATTGTTAGAAGTTAAAAATTATTCTCAATTCCCCTTTACCTTGTAAATCAATTTCTTTTTTTTTTTTAAAGATTTTATTTATTTATTTGACAGAGAAAGACACAGCGAGAGAGGGAACACAAACGGGGAGTGGGAGCGGGAGAAGCAGACTCCCTGCCGAGCAGGGAGCCTATGCGGGACTCAATCCCGGGACTCCAGGATCATGACCTGAGCCGAAGGCAGTCGCTTAACCAACTGAGCCACCCAGGCGCCCGTAAATCAATTTCTTTTAGTTTCTTAGCTAGCTAGTTAGCTCAAGCAGATAAATTTATTGAGTGCTTAGTTTGTGCTGGGCACTGGGCCAAGGATGAGTAAGATGTAGGATCTGCCTTCAGTTTACTCAGTATATCAGGGCAGCTGGCTATGTACAGAAGTAGATGCTGAGGAAAACTGTTAAACCTGTTGAGGAAGAGGGAGGCACTGGGAAGGCTTCATAGAGAAAAAGGAGTCTAAAAAGTCTTTTAAAGGATAAATAAAAATTCTGGGTGCCTGGGTGACTCAGTTTGTTAAATGACCAACTCTTGATTTCAGCTGAGGTCATGATCTCAGGGTCAAGAGATCGAACCTTGTGTCAGGCTTGGCGCTCAGTATGGAGTCAGCTTGAGGAGTCTTTCTCTCCCTCTTCCTTTTTCCCTCCCCCTACTCACATGCTGTCTCTCTCTCTCTCTCTCTCTCAAATAAATAAATAAACCTTAAAAATAAAAAAGGATAAATAAAAATTCAAGTAAGTAAAAGACAAAGAACACCAATTTAATTTGATCACTAAAGATGGAAAACAACTAAAATATATTGAAAGTGACAAAAGACTGCCAGAGGAATGAAAATCTCTGCCTTTATACATAAGCAAATTCACAAAGGCCAGATGTATAGTTAGCTCATAGTCTGACAGTAGCACATGGATTTTTTAAAAGAGGCCTAAGCCAGCACATAAAATTTTGGATTCCCAATTAACCAAAAACAGTCATCTAACCTCTTTCAAAAATATGAAAAACTGAGTGACCACATAGCATATTGTGAAATGTTGGCTATTAAGCTGTTTGGAAATACAGAGTGCCATATTTATAATCAACAAAGCTGGGCTTTCCTAAAGCACTCGCTGAGGAATTGAAAACAAAATGGTTTGCATTTACTAAATGGTGGAAAGATAGAAGTAAAGCTACAGTTACCAAATGATGCTTCTCTTCACCTGGCTCTCCTGAAAACAGAAGGTGTTTTTTTGTATGCAGTGCTTCCAGTGGTGAATCATCAAACCATTTCTTTTTCAGACACATAAAATGTATTATTTAACCTCAGCTTGTTTTTCAAATTACAATCATGTGGGTCATTAATATTTAACAATCATCCATTCATCATCAGGCAGCTGTGATTGCAAGTAGAGGAGTTACTTCAAACAAAAAAATGCTTAAAAGTTAGTTTAAAGCTATCTTGATAAAATAGATTTATCATTAATGGATTACATTCCCATGACATGATAAGACCAGATCAAGGAGAGGCCTTATAAAAAAACAAACCTATTTGAGTGAGCCTTTCTTCTGCATTGTTTTACTTCTCCTTCTTTCTTTTTTTTCTTTTGGCAGGGGTTAGGGGTTGTTATTACCAGAGGTTGGGAACCAAAGTTATGAAAGTGTGCAGTATTAGATATTCGAACCACATCACATCGTCGGAATGGATCTGATTTTAGATTCCTTAAACAAACAAATAACAACACCACCACCACCCAGAACTCAAACTGGTGTTGTTGGATCCTACGTCAGAAGTACAGGTCATGAGGGACCAGTGGGTTGTTTTGATACCATACCACATTCAGACTGAGATAGCCACCATTTGGCAAGAGCAGATTATTGGTCATAAGGGGATCATATCAAAGAAATGTGGCTGGAGCTCCCTTACCGTTTGTTTTTGCTGGGATGCAGTTCTAATAGATAGTCCAACTTACAGAAATATAGTAGTAGCAATTTCACTTCTGGAAGAGATTTTTAATATAGCAAATTGCTATGACAATGCAATCTACATGACACTACAGTTAATACAAAGCTAAGAAAGTCTCTGTCCCAAGGGCTTTGTCCAATGGAGGAATGTATAATCTTATAAGATTTCTTTAAGAAATGTTTAAATCGGGTGCCTGGATGGCTAAGTCGGTTAAGTGTCTGCCTTCGGCTCAGGTCATGATCCAGGAGTCCCTGGATCAAGTCCCTCATCAGGCTCCCTACTCAGGGGGGAGTCTGCTTCTCCCTCTGCCCTTCACCCCCTTCGTGCTCTTTCTCTCAAATAAATAAATAAAAGCTTTAAAACAAAAAAAACAGAAGTGTTTGGATCACTGGATCCTCTGACCCACAGTGAGAGAACAACAACTTAAAGAAAATAAAATGAGTTTACCACATCCTATCAACTGAAGTCTCAAAAGTAAGCAGTTGTACTTTGCTGAACTGGAAAGTCCACTTTTGTCCTGTGCTTCATTCCCTTTTAGGACATAGAGATCTAAGAAGTTATGGGATAGAAAATGTCTTATCCTAAGGAAGAGTGGAAAGTATATTCTCAGTGAAGTAGATTTGGTTAGGAAGCTTTCTGATTTAAACTTCAATTTGAGATTGTTTTGTTTTCACTGTATATTCTGACTTCAAATTGTTCTACTTATATATGATGGCATCATATATACATTATAATGACAGCATCATATAGACATTTCAAGGGTGCATAGTAAGTGTTAATCCTTATAGCCAATCTGTAAGAGCTCCTGTTCTACTTTCATTTGTAGTGATATGCCCAAGGCCACACAGTAAGTGAGAAACATAATGGGATAAAAAGTCAAAAGTTGTCATCATTCGGGTTTCTATTCAACTGTTTAGCTTTGAAACACCTAGTAATTAATTTTAAGCATTTCTTTAAGTCTTAGCACTTGGAACAAAATATGAGATAAATATAAATGTGTATGCAGTCCATAGGAATAATTCAGTATTCTAAAAATATCTCAATCAATCCGACAGCTGCCTGATCTTCCCTTCCCTGTTGGCTAAGCACAGCAGACCTTTATTTAAGTCACATTTTAATAGCAAACCAAGAAAATCAACCTTACTTCCTTGTGCCCATACAGATAATAATAAAAATTCCATTCAGGCTACCAGCAATTCCTGAGAATTCAAAGATACTTTTGTGCTCAAATAGCACTACTACAATAGAGAGCATTATTCAGAGGATTACAGAGAAAATTAATCAGCCCGAGGAATATGAACATTTGCAGTCATCTTAAGAAAAGACATATGGAAAAAATAATTTCAGGATAGTCTGGGTTTTTTTGTTTTGTTTTGTCTAAGAGTTCTGACATGATTGCAGAGTTCTTTTAACTCTACCACACAGCTCTTTTCAGTGTATGTAATTATTATGAAAAATTAGTAATATTAAGCATGACAGTGCTAAGTTCACTTCAGCCCAACCTTTAATAAAGGTCAAGGATGTCTTCACTTAAAGAGCTTCCATTCTAGTAGAAAAGACAGAAGTATAGCTATCTACTTATGATACCCTTTGGTAAATTTAAGGATTAAGAAATTTTGCTGTAGTACTTTAGAAGCACAAAAAGGGAGTGTCCAACCCAGCCTGGCTCAAGGGGTAGGGAAGTGGAATGAGGCAACGGGAAAGGCTACCAGCAAGCACAACTCCAGGGAAATACGAAGAATTAAGCAGGTTAATGTTTAGGGGCAGAGATCAGGTAGATACATTTACCGTTTTATTTATTTTTTTGTTTTACTGTTTCAGATAGCATGCCACCTATAGAAAGAATACTGGTGTTATCATCTATGTGCCTGTTTATTTTTTTAAGCAACATATCTCTGTGCATCTTATCACTATGTGGGTCACTGTTTATTGACTTGTTTCAAATGTTCAAATTTAGGTGAATTGGGCCATTATTATATCTTTTCATGCATGTGTAAGAGTCAGTGGCCTCATTTGGCAACACCAATAATCCTTACACAAATCTCTTCCTCCATTTCAGGATTATAATGCCTTTTGTAAAGACCTGCCTAATGGTCCTGCCTTCGGTACAGACAATATGGAAGAGTGTAACAGATGTTGTCATTGCCCCATTGTGCACAAGTGTAGGACGCAGCTTCTCTTCTGTCAGCCTGCAACTGAGTCATGACTGAACACTGGGACCCCAGGTCTGGAGTTCTGTATACTGTAATACTTCTTGGTTGTTATAATGTAAAAGCACTACTGTTCTGTTCTAAGCATTCCCAACTGTTCTAATTAAGAAAATTTTTAAGATTGGCAACCACATTTAGAAATGTTTATTGGCAGATCTTTTCAAATAATGCCTTTCTAATTAATAGTCAAGGATTTCACTTCTAACTTTAGAGCCAGAATTATACAGTGGGTTGGCAACACTTAATTTTAAAGGCAGTTTTTACTTTAGTACAAAAGTACACATTTTATAATGATGAATTCATAAAGATCAAGGGACATTTCTCAAACACTATAATAGTTCTGTGCACAACTGCTTGTAAAATTATGGAATTTCTTATTTTTTTACTCTGAAAGTAATACTTTTAAAATTACCTTTGCAGATAAAGTCATGGGAATACTTACAAAAAAGATATACAAAGATCCTAGAAATTATAGTAACAAAAGCATGCAGTGATGATAGGCGCTATCAAATATAATAGGACAAATAAATGTGAAAATAGATAATGAACGTGTGTACCTTTAAATAAGATATTGTTAACCTACAGGTCTATTTAATAAGATGTTTCATTGTACTGTATATTTTGTACTTAATGTAAATGTTGCTCTAATCAGATTGCTTTTAAGTACTTTTATTATATTATCTTGTTGAACTAATATATAGAATGAGTAAATGTCTCTTTCATGGGGAACTTCATTGGTGAGATTGCACTGTCTTGATTATGTAAGCATATATATATCTTCTTTGGGAATAGAATGTAAAAGAGTGATATACAAGGTTTTTCTTTCTAACTTTTCCAAGCAAAATCCTGAAATGTTTTATGACTGAGCTTTTTCTGGCTGTGACCTTAAAATTAATCCAAATCTAATTGGTATTTCATCTTGGAGATGCTTTTGCTCTTGTAGTTAGAAATTAAACTTGTGGGGCACCTGGGTGGCTCAGTCAGCTGGGTGTCTGCCTTTGGCTCGGGTCATTATCCCGGAGTCTGGGGATTGAGCCCCGCATGAGGCTCCCTGCTCAGTGGGGTGTCTGCTTCTCCTTCTGCCTCTGCCCCTTCCCCTGCTTGCGTTCTCTCTCTCTCTCTTTCTCTCTCTCAGATAAATAAAATCTTTAAAAAGAAAAAAACAAAAAAAGAAATTAAACTTTTATTGCATTCCTGTTAATGTCTCACTTTACCTTCAAGTAATACTGGTGCTATTTAATAACATTTTACATAAAGGCTATTTCTGACACTTAAGTATTATTTCAACTACAGTGATTCATGGAGAGAGACTTACAGGAAAGTTGTCAATTTTTTGGGCCCATGCTATTGAGCTACTATACATATATATATATATATGTATATATATATGTAAAAGACTAACAGATACAGACTTCCATGATGTTGTTGTCTGATATGGGATTTGTTACACAGTATAAAATTATTCTTATCACTTTTGAATTGTAGAGTCCTATTTCAATGTTATGAGTCACTGTTGTTTTAAAAATCTCATTATTCCAAAATGATAGGCATGTACAAAAGATGTCTATGATGTAAGTGGTTACTATAATTTACACATCTTAAAAGTGTGTAAATGCTCAAATTTAAGAATTATTATCAGAACCTGAATTAACATTCCTTTGAATATCTTCATAGATGACAAATCTTCATTCAATGAAGATTAATTTTACTTTTCCAAATTGCCAGGACTGGTGAATATAAAGGATGATTTAACTGGAATACTATTGGGGGCCAAAGTAAACAAATGATTAAATTATGAAACTCCTATCCTTTTGAAGAGAAGCTACAAAAGAGACTTCAAAACTGCCTCTAGGCCATTGTAGCATCCTTAGAAAAGATTCTCTTGATCATTACCTTAAAACATTACCACTCATTTGACGACATAGATTTTATGTTAGTTAAAAAGATCAGTTTCGTGACTTTACAGTTATACTATAAACTATACAACTATATAGTTGTATTTAAAGTGTTTTTAAAAATATTTGGATATGTTGATTGGCCAAAAGTATTTGATTAATAAAACATGCATTTAAATAAATCATAAGCTTAAATAAATCATATCTTTTCAAATAGCTATCGATAAGTTTTAAAGCCAAAATATATAGCAAACCATTAACTTTTAGCAAGTGAGACATACGATTTCCGTATTTCTGAATAGCATTGATTATTCATTAAAATTAATTTTTTTGAGATTTGCCATTAAATATTTTATTTCAAAGACTGAAATTTTGTACCAAGTAGATTCAGGTTTCATATGCAAATATGTTGGTTCTCTTATTTGAGGGTGGGGCAAATAGATGAGTATTTGTAATAAACTTTCTAAAAACCCATAAAATGTGTTCATTGTTTTTATTATATTAGATAAGAAACTGATCAATAAAGAACCTTTTTAAACCTTGTTACAAACCCATAATAGAAAAAAATACATGAGTAACTGCTTATTCAGGAATATAGCCATGAAAAATTATGGGATTGGTAATTTAATTGTTTTCCCAGCACTTAATCAGGTTCCCTATAAAATTTTCTATCATTTGATGAATAGTATACGCAATGAATTGTTCACAAACCCATCATACTTCATCTTCCTCATGAAATGGAAGTCTCTTGCTAATCCTAAATAAACTGATATTTCTGTTTTCAATTTTTTTAAATAAGAAAGTAAAACAATATAAATCACATGTACTTGGATACTGGTACCATGAAGCCAGACGAGAGTCCAAAATTAGTTTTGGAAAATGAGTATGAGAAGAGTAGTTGCTGATATTGGCATGGATTTTCTCATCAGTTAATCTGGAAAAATGATCAACCTCTAATAATAAAGCAGGTGTTTGGCTTTCTAAAATGCTTTTCATAATTTTGAAGAACTTAAAAATCTCCTCTTTTCAATAGTCATCCACATCCCATTAATTTGTTTAGATGCCTTCCTTGGGAAGCTGTTCCAGTGCAGTGAAAAGGGCCCTGCCCTCCAGATTAGGCATCTGGATTCCAGTCTCAGCACTGCCATTACTGAGGTGTGTCACCTGCAAGGGGTTTAATCTCGGTCTCAGTTTTCTTATCTCTAATGAAAGAATTGAACTAAAGGATCTCAGGAGCTTCCCATCTCATTGCTTTCTGGGACTTAAGTAGGATAAAGACTTGCCTATGTATATGCAAACCAATCTAGCTGTTCAGACCAGGAATTTTTTAAAAATCACAAATTTTCTATCAGAGGGCTGATGTGCGATAAAGATAGTAACGAATACATTTACTTTTCAATCTTCAGTGGATTGTGAAAATGAGTATGTGCCTTTGATTCTCCATGATGGGGATTCCTAGACCTTTAACAATTCTGATTCTTTATTGTTGTTACATTTTCTCTGAAAATAATGTTTAATTCTATTTTTTAATTAATTAAAATATATTTTATTTGAAGATGTTTCTACCAAAATCACTGCTATAAGACCGTAATCGTTGCCATCTTCATCTTTTGCCTAGCTAGTTGTCACAGCCTCTTAATGGGCCTCACTTCCAGCCTTCAATGATCTCCAATCCATCTTCCTTTTCAAAAAATAGAGTGATCTTATCAAAACTCCCCTGACATTCTCTTGCATAAAACAATCAATTATATGTGACTGCCCTTAGACCAAAATCCAAACTCTTAAACTATGGATACAAGGCCTTCACTCTCAACCCATTGCTGTCTTCAGCCAGTGCCTACTCTAGCCCTCACTTAAGTGTCATTCTGTTCTTGTGTGCCCAACCCTCTCCTCTGTCCCCATGCCAGCGTCCCTCCTCGTGGCCTGTCCCACCCCCACTTCTAAAACTCCTCCACATCAAGTGCCTCTTCTGTGTCTTCAGATAAAATCTTGTGCCAACCCCTATTATCACTTCCCACATGGTAAAACTAACCCTGTTAAACCCTTCTAGACTGCTAGATGGTCTTTGAGAACCAAAAACATGACTTCATCTGTGTTTCTGGAGATTCTGAAATGATGCCCAGCAGTCAGTGAGCTCAATCACTATTTTCTGAATGAATGACCATGTGCATAAATAATTGAAGAAAACTAGGAATGACTGCAGAGCTGAGATGGGAATCACATTTCAACTTCATAATTTTCTTTATTTTCAAGAGAGGTTTGAAATGTACTGATTCTAATAAGATTTCCTTTCTCGCCATTTTTCTCACTCATGAATCATCAAGTTGGGACAACAAAAATGTATGTAAAACAGGTTAGGTGTATTTCATCCTTTGTGGTAATGCTTGTCCTTACTCTCAATTCTCTTATTTGAATGAAATGTATTTTCACATCTCAGTGGTAGGAAATACTAGCACTTAAAAGCTCATTTGGAAACATTCTGGTATTTTTTAAATATTGCTATTTCTTTTACTATCCTATTTCTCATTTTGAAATGTATAATAGTAAAAGACTGTTTTATGGAGTTTTACATTTTAGAAAACACAGTCCTATACATCGTTTCATTTGAATCCCAGGACAAATTAAATAGCATAATAATCATATAAATAATGGCTCAGTTTCTTTAGCTTGCAACTTTGTCATTTTAGAATGTTTATTTAAGATAAAAAGAGCTTAAAGAATGTTAAAAAGGCTACATAATAAAAAAAAAAATGTAGGTAGTACTGCAGTGAAAAATTACCACCACTAAATGCAACTTATCACAAACCAGGATTTAGTATATTTCTTTCCTTCAAGGTATATCTATGTGTATGGAAGGACAAGGGAAAGAATTAAAGGATGAGGAAGCAGAGGATAAAGATATACTAGATATTCAGGCAATAATTTTTAGGAATAAAAACAATCCAGGCTTCCATAATTTAATCATCCTAGTTTCCTCTCCCTGTTCACCCCCAAACGGCAAAATGAGCAAAAGAAGGGACCCTTTGTTATATTTTTAAGACATTTTTGTACCTGCTCCTCAGCCTTTTTCTTTGGACTATATCTGAACTACCACCAATAGAACCTTACACTTGGATGCTTGTTAAGTAAAAGATGCCCTTGGGTGGGGCGCCTGGGTAGCTCAGTCAGTTAAGCGACTGCCTTCGGCTCAGGTCATGATCCCGGAGTCCTGGGATCGAGCCCCGCATCGGGCTCCCTGCTCTGTGGGGAGCCTGCTTCTCCCTCTCCCCCTCCCCCTGCTTGTGTTCCCTCTCTCTCTGTGTCTCTCTCTGTCAAATAAATAAATAAAATCTTTAAAAAAAAAAAAAAAAGATGCCCTTGAGTGGGGTAACATTTCAATCTATGACCAGTCATCCATTACTTTATGTGAATGAAGGACCTGAGAAGGGGATATTGAAAACTACATAAGGGACCTGAGAGTGAGGGCTTTGACCTGAGCTCCACATGAGAGTACCAAAGAGGAAGCTGGGACAGAAAAAGGGAAAATAGGAGGCTCCAAAGTCACAATCCTCACCCATCACAGCTTTGCTTTTGGACATTCTGCCCCCAAAGCTCCAGTGAAGGGGACAATGGAAAACGAATAGGGATAAACGGAGTTGAAGTCATCTAAAGACTTTTCTTCTTACCATAAAGAAAGGTTACTTATGTCTTATTGAAGGAAAAGGGCCCTGGAAGCGGGTGTGAAGGCTCTGCTACCACCATGTGCCCTAAAGACAATGCTTTTGAAAAGCAAAAGTTAAAGTAAAAACGGAACTACAACTTCTGACCATCTGTCTCTCTCCCACCTTGCCTCTCTGTGCTATTGACTGTTGCCATGTGTCTGTAGCAAAGAAAGAAGACCTTGCAGCAATCAGAGAAATCAGAGGACACCACTTCAACAATTATCCAAAAATAGGACAGAGACACCTATCCGCCTGCACTTGGACGTGTTAGGTCACTCAGCTTGGCTGCACGGCTAGAGAAGTGGTTTTTGCCATTATAGGAAAAGGTAGGGGGGAAAATGATGAGAGAAAGGAAGAGACATGACTCAGAGTGGGAAACAGCATGTAAGCAAGGGCAAATATTTCTCCTAGACACAAATGCATCAGGAAGAGATCAGAGCAAAAGGTCATCTTTGGAGCATTCTTTTCTTTCCCTGCCTCCCAGTAGCTTGTCATCAAGCACCTGCCAGTAACAAAAGGGGAGGGAAGGGCAGTAAGCAGAACCTGCTTCTCTAGCTGAATGGCATACCGGTTCCAGCCAACTGCTGGCTCAGCTAACTGAGACAGTGAAACAAGAAGTCATTTGGAAAGTTGCAGGGGTAAACACACAATTTCCCAGTGAGGCAAGTAGCAAGGATTAACATGCTTCTTTTACTGAGGGGAAACTGGCTGGAATCCTTCATGCCTGATACCAGCAGGAGAATATCTCTGGTACAAACACTAACATTGATATTTGGTGAGCATGTATTACCTGCTAGGCATTTAATTAATCTGCATGATAACCCTATGATATGGCTTTTATCATCATCCCCATTTTTCAGAAGAGTAAACTGTTGCCCTGCAGTTGAGGGATTTTCCCAAGATCATAATGGGAGTCAGGATTTGAGCCAAGAGAATCTGACACCAGAGTCTAGGCTCTTAATCACTACAGAGATGATTTGCTATTTCTAGCATGTGTGCATAGCTGTTCAAAAATTTGTTCTCCCTTTCAGCCAAATTCTTCTTTTTCATTCATCATTCAGTCATGTCACCTTTCCTGCCCTGAGAAGCACCTTTTTTTTCCCCTTCTCTGATCAGTGGAGTCAGTTCCAAGTCCTCAGTGGTAAGAGCTCCCCTCAAACTTGTAACTGAGTTCCCTGTACCCTCCTCACTCTGCCCCCTTCTGATCCCCGAGCCCTCCCCAAGCCTCACACCCTGCTATCCTGAGCACACCCTTTCCTTCCCTTTATGATCTGAGCTCTAGGCGCTACACTTTAGCTTAGGTCAGAAAAATATTTTTCAAATACCATTATTCCTATCTGTTGTAAATTTCATAAAATTTCACTATCTTTAAAAAGACATCTTTAATATGTATCAAAAGCACAATGATGATATTTCTCCTCAGTACTTGACAGCTTGACACGTAAAATATTAATAATTAGAGTATTAATTTTCATTTAGACTAAGCATATATTTTTCTAAACAGAGGCCTTATTTTGTATCTTTTCTCACTTGGTTGGAAATTTCTTGTCAGTTGGTAAATCTTTTAATATGTTATCTAGTCTTATTAGCAGTTGTTTAATCTTGGAAATCCCAAGGAAAACCATACATGATTTTTTTCCTCTTATAGGGTAATTTTCTCATGATAAATTTTCAAAAGCAGAAAAACTGGATTGAAGTATGCAATCGTATTAATGGTGTGGTTGAATATTGTCATACTGCTTTTCAATAGGCTTATACAATTTAAAATTGCAATAGCA